CGCCAGCCCCGCCCCTTCTCCCACCCCCGCGCGGACCGCAATGATTTAGAAGTTCAGGAATCCCACGTGACGTCACCGGGGGGGTGATGTAATGCACTCTAAATAGAATGTATTGTAATCTTTGCTCAGTCCAACGTGGTCCCTTCAACCGGGCTCTGCTCTTGCCTTCTCCACACTTGTTTGGTAAGTTCCTAAAAATACGGCTGGGCCACTTCTGGGGCTTTTGCATTTGGCCACTTTTGTTGCACTTGCCTAGGGAGCCATCTCGGGAGTGTACTTGTTTGCAGGGGTTGGTTCTTGGCAGCAGCCTTGAGGTTACTTGGTCCAATGGGCAGGTCACAGGGCAAGGAGTAGGAAAGATGCGAAGCATTTTTTTTTTGGAGGGTGATCTGTGTTTGTACCAGAGGGAAGTCTGGCCCCAAATGCCGGTGAACGGACTGTGGAATTCTCCTGTGTCCTGAGGCCAGCCCAGAGACCCCACGTCTTGTCCATCCCGGAGCGCGTCTTGGTGGCCGGGGCGCCATGCGACTGGAGGGATGCTAACGTGGAGTGAGCAGTGTCCGCCTGGCGTGCGTGCGTGTGTGTGAGCGTGCGTGTGTTTCCCTAACACGGGGAACAGTTATGAATCGGGGGTGTGTGTTTGCCTCCAGAGACCTGGCAAGGTGCGGAACCCTCCAGAAGTGCGGTCAAGCGGTGGCAGCGGCGGCGGCAGCGGAGACGGCGAGCCAGGAACCTCCCCCCGAGTCCCCAACCTCCCAGCGATGCGGTCGAACCCTCGGAGAAAGTTTGCAAACTTCCAGCGGGCGCGGCGAGGACGCCGGGTCACCTAGCGGGTGGACAGGCGGGTGCGCGGGGGCTCGCTCCCTCCGGGGTGCCGAGCCTGCCGCTGCCACCTCTCCTGCAGGGCTGCCCGCGGCCGGTGGGCACACGGCCCTGGAGAGGAAGTCGCTCTCGGAGGGCGCTCTCGGAGGGCACTTTGCTCGTAGAGGCTCTGGGCGCGGAAGTCTCGAGAGTGGCCAGGCTCTGCTTTCGCTCCTCCAGCCGCTCCTGCCGCCCTCAGTTCCATGCTCGCTGGCATCACTACCTCTTCCCCGCCGCTGCCCCAAGTGACAGCTGCCGCTTTTGCCGCGGCGCGGGGGCAGTTCACGGCTGCGGAACCTCTACGCCAGATTCTCCGGGGAACCGCTTAAACTTTTCACAAAGTTCTTAGAGGGGCAAAACGTGTGAAGGAACCAAGGAGATGTCTCCCGCCGGCTGTATCCCGCTTCTTTGCCAAAGATTTGTTGGGGGGTGGGGGTGGGGGGATGAGCTAGATAAAGCCCAGACCTTGTCATCCCCCTCCCCAACTTTCCCTGAATGGGTGCCGCCCCCACTTGACGCTTGTTCAAGGCCAGGACTGGAGTGAGCTGCTTGTATATTTTGTCAGAGTCCGCAGAGTGTGTTTGATTTTTACTTTTCCCTCCCTCTGACATGTGTCAAGGAATAAAGGCTGGATGCACATCCGTTACGTCATTCTGCTGGCCAGTAAGTGTTTGATTAACAGCTTCAGATATTCAAGGGTTGTGGGGGCTTAGAAATGCTGACAAAGCAACTCTGCTTTCCACCCCCAGCCCCCAACATACTTGTACAATCGCCAGTTCCCTGGGCATCTTTATTGCCCGCTCCTCCTGGACCCTCCTTCTCCGCCCCCTCTCCCGCCCACACCGTTACCACTCTGGCCCCGCCTCCGCCTTTTACTGCGTTTCCCCGGGCGATCACTGTCCCTGGAGTGTGGGTAAGAGCTTCTGGTGTCTGAGGGGAGCATGGTACCTGATCAGCACAGGCACAATCTGGCCTTTTCTATTATTTAAGAAAGGCACCAGCGAGCCCTCTTCTCCAGGGCGAAAATGCGCAGCCCTGATCGAAAAGGCATCTCAGGAAGTGTTTAGAGACATTATGATAATACTGTGTCCCTGTGGTGACTTAGGAAAACAACACACCCATTGCAAACAAAATAATTTTACATAGCGCCTTTCTCCAACTGCTCAGTGCAAGAGAGAAGTAGTGAGGATGCTGACTAAATCAAATTTAGCTGAAAGGATCAAGATTAAATGTTTCATTTCCAAAGTGAGGGAATGAGCCCTGGAACCCAAAGTACCATGTAATGAATTGCTGTGTTTTTTTCTCTTAAACCTTCCATTTCTATATTTAATGAGGAAGTTAAATACCTAAGTTATTGAATTGAGTCAGAACTAAAAACAACTATATGTGACATGCTTAAGGGATAAAAGTAAAAACTCTTGGGGTATGTGTGGAGTAGAAATAAAAAAATTACTCCCAGGGTTTTGGATGAAAGGGCCTGTGGGTTTGGGTGCTTTCTGATTTGGAGTGGGTCAAAGCTAAATAAAGGAACATTTATATTCTGAGTATGTGGGGTCTTCTTGAAGGACACATGTTTGGTTATAATCAGATCTACTGTCTTCAAAGTGAAAGCCATGCTATAGAGTAGGCATTTGTGAAACTCCTGTCTGGGGTCTAATTGACAATCCTGCCCCAAGTTTGGGGCTGTATTTATTATTTATTTCCATCTAGAGATGAAATAGTATAACCCTCACAAAATGCATGTGCATCTAAATGTTAAACTTCTTGTTTGTGATGCACTGACCTAAAGGGAAAAATGGCCTGGGTCAGGGACACTGAAGAGTGTGATTAATGATCAGTGATTTAGTGATCAGTGATTAGTGGTTTTATTCAAACTGTTACCTCTGACCAGAAGCACACATCAGAGGATTAACAGGCTCTTTAGATAAATGCTCATTAGTGGAAGGGGAAAGGCAAAGATAATAGGCATGCACCCAGGGACAACTTTCGAAGAAAATCATTCCCGTCTTCAGAATAATAAGCTCTATTAACAGAAAGCCCTTTTAATTTAAAACTTGCTTTTATCTTGTAAATCAAAGTTAGATGTAAAAGTTTGTAGTGCCATTATAACCTAAATTTTCCCATATCCTCTACATGTGGATTATCTCAGTAGTGATATACTTTTTTATTTAAATAAACAATTGGACCTTCGGAGCAGCTGAACCCTGACAAGTCCTTAACTCCCAGGGTTTGAAGGTGTCCCCCCTTTTGGAATGGAGAGTGCCGCTTGCTAACTAGATGGCGCACTGTTATTTGGCGTTCTGTGCTGTGCAGTTCAGGAGCCTAAGCGAGCAAGTAGCTGCTTGCGAGGTGTTCTTCAACACTTACAACAAAGTTGATTCTGTGTAGGGTTGGAGGCTAGACAGTTCTACAAGTTTTTAGTCACATTTTCCATGTTGGTTAAATCTAGGGAGTTAAAGGCTACTGGAAAAATTAGTCTCATTACTAAAAGAAACGTAGAGAACGAGGGAGGAGAGGAGGTACGAGAGTCCAGGAGGTACCTCTGAATTGCAAAAGTGATTGTAAAATACCAGACCTGTTCTTTTTTACTAAGGGCTAGTTTCACAATCTTGTGTCTGAAATACTGAGGCAAATACTCAGGTTTATTGTCTTCCTAATCTTGCTGGTGAAAAAAGAAGTTACTAGAGAGAAAGGAAGAAAAAAACACACCTTGATTTGGTGACTGCAGGAAGCAACACGTTGCTGAATTTATTCTACAGATAATGGTAAGATGCTGTTTATTATGCTTATTAAGCAGAAAGGGAACTTTGCAGTTTGGTTAAATGAAGCCAGTCTTGTTTTTTCATAGATGGAATTCAGAAATGGGATTCATCTTTTGCACTGAATATTAATGTTGCTTTTGTCAGTTTCCTGGGACTTGGTAGCATTTTGTGTGTGAGGGTGTGTGTGTGTGTGTGTGTGTGTGTGTGTGTGTGTGTGAATAAGACCATTATTTCCTGGGTAAAATAATGTTTATGAGCATGTTTATGTATCAGGTAAGAATTCCCTTATTCTATGAACTTTTATGAATCACTATAATAAGTACTTAAGTTTTAATAAGGAAAGAGTTCTTAAAAAGGGAGCCTAAAAATTAAAAATAAAGCAAACAAACAAAAAAAAGATTCTCCACATTCCAACCTAGCTGTGTATTCCATGGAAGAGGGGTGCTAACGACTGAATATCAGCTATTAGTTTAGTTTTAAAACTGAGAAAACAGTGAAAGAACTCACCTGTGCCTCCCTATAAATGTTCCCATTTTCTTTGCTTGTAGCACTTAAATAAATCTGTTCTTTTGAAATCCTGACTGATATAGCGATTTTTATTTTCCAACTTGACTCAGAGTAAACACATTTGCTCAATTGATAGTATCTTCAAGCCGACTGTTTTTAAATGTAAATTGCTGATATCCATAAATTGCCTGGAAATTAGAAGTCAGCTGTGACCTCATGTAGTTTATATATGAGCAGATAGTTTGTTAGAACATTCCCACCAAAAGAGTGAAAACTGTGCCTTTACTTCTGTATCTTTGTGGTATTGCTGCTTTTTTTGAATAGGTGGTTAAATGAATGGTAGTTTGTCCAGAGACTTTTCCTTCATAGCTTTTCAATGACAGTGAATTGAAGATTTTCATGATAACTACTTGTCAGTTTTCCACACCACAGGTTCAAAACCAATTAGTCATGGACTTTCCATGGCTATTTGTACTGACGTCAAGTTCTTGGTCCCCTGATTTCTTATTATAATTTACTTTTTAGCAATGATGTATCACCGTTCTACAGCTTTTCCCTAGCATTGGCATTTGCTTCTTATTAAGTTGAAAATTATTTTGTGTCTTTGGGGGTGATGCTGGCTGGATCCCTAAGATGTGAACTTTGTATTTGCTGTTGGTTTTCTTCTGGTTGTGTTGTTAAATTAAAATTAGGGATTTGAGTGGACTGATTATTTTTGTCATCTTTTCTTTTTTTCTTCTTCTTCACTTCAAAGCATTGCTGTTAGTCACAAAATTAATGTGATCATGCTGGTGTTTCCCATCTATATGCTTCTTTTGCTTCTTACAAATTGGATTTCTACAGCAATTTAAGATCTTGTTTTAGAGGCAGTTTTCTTGGATGAAGATGGAACAATGATCTCAGTCAATTCATTATCTTGTCCAGCTTGACTACCAGCTGTATTATGGGAATCAACCAATGCTTTTATAAATTAGTGTTTAAAAATTCAAATCTAGGGCTATTTCTCTGAATCCTATTTGAGAAAATTATACAACTGAGATAGGTAATAAATGTGTGTGTGGGGACAATAGCCTCAAATATTTAAGTGTGAGAAAGAAGCACCTTTAGATATGCTAAGAAGACTTAAAGAACTTTTTTGTGTTGCTATTCATAAACTAAATAAGCTATATTGCAGCATTACTTTAAAAAGAAATGCTGGCACTTTAAAAATGACATCATGGTTAATGTTTTCACTAAAGAGTTCTTACATTTTGGATTAGGGAAAAAATGGGCAATTGGTGTTTTTTGATGATCCATTAGTATTGCTTTGTTGGGAGAGAAAAAGAGAGAGACAGACAGAGGTTGAATACTTTTACAAATTTCTAGATTATGGTAACACTGTTTCAGAAACAAGAGCAAAAACCTGATGCTCTTTTGAGACTCTGGAACTTTCAAAATAAAACTTGTAAGTTTAGGATAAATTCCTGAATGTATAAGATGTTACGCTGACATTTCATTTCTTTCCTCCATGCTCACTCTATTACCCAATTATCTTTTCTGAGAAATAGATTAAAGTTCATTTCACACTTTAAAAATACATATTTTCATTGCTTGCTTCTCTTTCCTCAAGGTTTACATTTCTAATCTCTACCCTAAAATTAACAAGGATTGAAAACTACTATGTTGGTGTTTGTCTTGAACTAATTTTAGAGAGTAAGAGTTCCTTTCGGCCTAGGCATTCTGATGGTGTGATAGAAAGGCTTGTGGCATATGTAGAGCTAGAGCTGGAGCTGGGGGAGGTCTTTTCACTCATAAACCAACCTCTTCACTGTGAAGAACAGAACCTAAGGCCTGGTGGCATTCACTGGTTCACCCAAGGCCCAGAACTAAAGAACAGAATGGAGCCTAGAAGCCCAGTCTCTGCGTCCAGGTTGGTCAGGTTTTCTTTCCATGAGCCAGGCCACTATAAATGCCCTTGTCACAAATAAAACACAGCCAGCCCATGGCTTTGGATCCCTGCTCTTTTCAAGCCTTTGATCACTAACCTTTCAAAGACAATTTTTAAAATCAGATATTTTGAATAAATGCCCTAACCATATAAATTATAGTCTCTATTCTGTTTATTCTTACATATCTGTGATGTTAATTTTTCTAATATTGGCTTCCTTATTTAAGGGTCATTCTTCTTCTTCACCATTATTATTAGACATGACTTGTTAAAACTACACCATCCAGATTTCATTTGAGACTAAAACCAGGCAGAACTAAAAATACTCTAAAAGATCATTTCCGAATAAGGCAGTAACTTTTTTTACTTCTCATCTTTTCTTTATCATCTTTGAGGAAGAGATCTGAAAAATTATTTAAAGTTAAAATCAATAATCTTTGTTTTAGTTGAATAGAGCAACAAGTGTT